TGAAAAGAGGCATGCATACATTTCTCAAGCTGCATTTCATTCAGTGCAGGCATCTTATTTGTTACATCATGGCAGTTGCCCTGCTAGTTTAGATTGAATCCATTCCAAGTGGAAAGATCAGGAAAGGCAGCATGTTTGTGAGCTAGACATCCCTAGCAGTACCCCCATTCACTTTGGCCTAGGTTATGAATGACATTCATGGAAAAATAAAAAGGGAAAAAAACAGCCACTGCCATGCAAAAAACAAGGGTAATAGTATTAAAGGGTCTAAAATCTGACAATATACTTGCCTTCCAAATGTCACTATTAATCTTTCCCCCATTCAGTACAGCAAAATCACTCCATGGCTGTTTCTAGACACATAATTATTCACACAGGAAGAAGCACATTGATAAAAAAAAAAAAAAAAGAAAAAGAAAAAAAAACACAAGACACTGTTGTTAGCATTGGTATTTACAGGATGGGTTAGGGAACAGATCACCTCAAACTTCAACTACTTACTCCACCATACCATGGCATTTGGAGGAAAGGGGAGAGAAGACATGCCTGTAACAGTTACTTACCAAAACAAATGATTGAAACAAGGAAAGTTAATATAAATTAGGAACAGACAATGAAATTACTCTTTAACTATGATCTTAAAAGCAAGCAAAATGAATCTGAATATGAATGTTGGCCACAGCTGCTACAGCCTTTGATAAACAGCAATTAAGGGGAAACATTAGGATTTCCATTTGAATGGCACTTTTGTTAAAAGACCCTAACACTACAGGAACTAGAAATACTGAAATACAACAATATATGCAAGGATAAGAAACATACAAGGTAAAAATCAGAGAAAGCACTAGAAAAGGAGAAGGAAGGGGGATTAGTAATGAATGCAGAGATTTCTTGCTGAAAAAGTAGTTTTGAGAATTCTAGCACCTTTTTTAAAAAACAAACCGAAGCCAAACAAAGCACCTACCCTCTCATTTTCTATTCAAATTTCTCAAAAATTAGGTATAATCAAGCAAGTAGCAGTGCATTTAGCATTACAACAACCTGAGGTTCAGCCTTTTCTGTAAAGCCTGAGAGAAACAGCTGATGTTGGAGCTGCCTCTCTCCTCTACCACATCAGGAAACAAATCTCACAGTCCTGAACAGGTGGGACAGGAGATTTGATCATTGAGCACCAAATCAAGAATTCCTGAAATTAATTCCCCTTCTAAGATGAGCTCTCCCAGGCTGTTCAGCTCAGCCCCTAGATGTGTGGTTAATATGGCCCCACTGCATTAATATGCAGGGTTGACTTCTCACCTCAGAAGTGTTCTCAACATATCCCCACTGGAGGAATTATTTCGTGAGAAGCAGCTCCCAGGAGTACCCTGTCCCTAACATGCCATTAAATTAACTGATTTGTTAGCTTTTCCTACCAAGCCCCTTCTCTTTAATTATTAGTGGTCATGTTACCTACAGAAGAACTTCTAGAGCTGATCCAGGTCTGGGATGAGTCAGGCTATAAGATTAAACTACCTTCACCAAACATTGACATAATCTCAAAGAAGCTCTTATTGAAACTTAAACCCTACAGCTTCTTCTCTGCACAGGAAACGGAAAAGAGGCAGCAAAATTTCTAAAATTTGGAAGAGAACATTACTAAAGACAAGGACTCAAAAAAGAAGTAGTTTGGCAACACACAAGAGAAAAGAGTAATCTAAAACTAAGTGAAATTTAAACAGCTGTGCAAAACGAAAATACATTTTCATGTCTCTGAGGTGGAGGAAGGATACGTTACAGGTTATTCATATTTAGCATTTATTAGCATTTCTGTTAAATCAGCAGAATTTTCACATAATGCTTAACCCATAATTGCTTTGGATTGAAATTTACTGATTATCCTGTGAAAGAAAAAATGCCTTGCAGCCTGTGTAAAAGTAAGACATTTTCTCTTTTTTTTTCCTTTTTAAAATGCTTTTTGCCATCAGTATGCATTACAGCATCATTCCTGCTACTCATTTTTTTTTGATTCTCTGTTCAACAGTAATAACTGTTTTTCTTTATGCTAAACATCCAGAGTAAGCTACAAGATAAAAATGGCTGACTTGATCTGTTCTTTGTGGACTGCCTTCAGCTGTGAGCCACATTCTAACAAATGAAGCAAAGCTTCTGTATATTACATCATTTAAGAGACAGGGACACAAGAAAATAAAATGAGGGGAAAAAAAAGAGGAAACAAGACAAAGGGTAAGAAGATGTTACTGTGGGGGAAAAAAGTGCTTCTACGTGTTTATTTGACAAACTCAAAAGCTGAAAAAGCCCAAATAAACTCACCTCACAACTAGCACATGATGATTTACAGCCAAAAGTGACCTAGGTAAGTATTTTTATGGACTCCCAGAAGCCTATCGGGAGAGATACGAAATGCTGCCCATGCCACGCTTCAATCCTAAATTAAACTCTTTCATCTGCCTCTCAAACTTTTCATAATAAAGCAATACAAATTCCAGCATGTGGGAAAGGAGGTAAACAGCCCTCTCCAAAAAGATTATCTTGGAGTACAGGCTTCCAACAGCAATGAGAGAACCACATAGCTCACATGTGGATCCAACTCGGAAGTGGATGCTTTCCACCACAGCTGGTGCAGCCAGTGGTAGTACTGGGATAAAGGTATTTGGGAGCCTCTATTTTAGATCAAATTCCACAGTGAAGTGTCAGATTGACTATATCACAGACACTGGTATTAATGCTTCACAGGGAGGGAGAGGAGTAGCACTTGGGCTGGGCTGCAGTGCAGCAAACGGGAATTGAAACAAATATCACCTGCAAGTGACCTGGAGATGATTCAGTGCTGGCATGTACCAACTGCAGAGAGACAAAACCCCAAAAATTCATGGCAGCTGATATTGTCAGAATTACTTCATTACCTATCCCTATCTCTTAAAAACACACTGTGATTTATTTTCCTCTTACTACTTTCTACTGGGGTTCTGCTCAAAACGAGCTGAATCACAAAGGATTCTTCCTCCAGTTCCCTTGTAATAAAGCTCAACACCTGTGATTTCCAGAAATGCAAGACCTTTCCTAACAGTTCCCATTAGAACTCCAGCTACACCTGTTCTTTGTACAATTTCTGTGTTTGGCAGGGGACAAAGTCCAGAGCTCAATTCATGCTCTTGTTTTGAACTCTGCTAGTGTAAGTTTGCTGGTACTGTACTGCAATTCTATCTTAGTAACCACTGAGTCAAAAAAACCAATACTGTTTCACTAATGGTAAGATGCTTATCAATGAATGCAGAAATCTTTAAAAAGCAAATGCCTTTGCCTATACCTACCATAAAAATAATCATATAATACTAATACAAACTTTGGGTATGTATTTATTTTCATCTTTTATGCCACAGTATATGGTCTTGATGCCGCCACAGAACTGTCTATGTATAAATCTTTGCTGAATTAGAACTGCCATATCAAAACCTAGACGAACGTACTATGTACTCACATACATGTCTTATTTTATACATCTATACTGTATTAAAATCTGCTTCACAGATTCACAGAATATTCTGAGTTGGAAGGGATACACAAGGATCATCGAGTCCTACGCTCAGGTGAATGGTCCCTGCAGGGATTGAACCCACAACCTTGGTGGTGTTACTAGCACCATGCTCTAACCAACTCATACATTTTGTATTCTCCATGATGCTGCTGAGAACTAATGATCATTAGTACATCTGATACATTACCAGCAGGTCTGATTTTTTAATTGTAAAGACATTTTAAACAGAAGTAGAAAAATATTTGAAATGGAAATACGTTATTTTTCCTCTGCAGTTTACAAACCATCCTTATTTCTGGGGTCTTGTGAAGAGCATCTATAACTTACTAATTAAAGTCCCATTCTCCACATTTTAGAGTAAGAAAAATAATAATGGTAAAGTTATATCCCTCATGTGTACGTTGCAGGAATTTATACTGGAAACATGTGCAGCATTTTACATTCAGCATGTCTAGATTTTTTTCTTGTTTTCTTGTACTGGAATGGTAACACTTGCAGTTCTTTCTCCATGAATCCTCTCAGAAATAACTTCCAGCATGCCTAGTGCACAGTACATTCCATGGGAGCTTGACTGATGTAAACCATAACCGAAATGTTGTGGTCGAGTTTACAAGCCTTATGAATAGCATTTATGAACATGTGGGAGCAATCTTTCTAAAATCACGACAAGACTGTACATATTTAAGCCTATACAAGATAAAAGTTTCAAGGGCAAGACAGTAATACATACTTGAATGTCCTTAATGCCTCTTAACTTCCATTTAAGTTAGTTTGGTGCACATATGAACAAAATCAAGAACAGAAGAAATGCTGTATCTAAATGAATTAAAAAACAAACAAACAAACCCCTAAGGATTGTCTGATCAAAAACTCAAAGCCAGTAAAAAGACTTCCCTTGATTTGATAAAGCTGAGGGCATTTTTCTGAAAAGTTAGTATGAAAAATACTTATTTAACACCAAATTTATTTTATATTGCTATTTAATTCCACAGAAGTCTCCCCAGAATACTAAAACAAAGTGATTGTATTTTTTGAAGCATACTCTTCTTTATGATAATTGATTTTATTTTTCTACTTACATGACACCAATCAAACCTGTGGATTGTGCCTGAAAGGATTATTTTAAAAGGTGGTATCACATACTGCTCTTTCAGCACATGTGGAGGAGAGTGTGCACTTTTTTCTGTTTCTAGTTAAAGACTGACTGCAACACACTGATAGATATTTTGTACTGGCAGGATGTACAGAGGAGGACACTTCATGTTTATTCAATAGAAAGCACCCTGTAAAGTAACTAGTGTCTCAAATGAAGACTCATGTCTTTTTGTGATGCTCCTACCAAATGAACCAAAAAGAAAGAAGATGCCAACAAAGAGTTCAGCCAAAAGACTACTGTAATGTGCAAAAGTTTTATGTATCCTGTATCCAAATAATGCAGCAATGCTTCAGCATATGCTACAGAACTGCATAAGTTTCACATTCATCAATGACTCATTCATCAGTCACTGGCTGCCTAATTTATCTGAGACATGTCTGATTTCATCATACTCATCCAAAGTTTAAGGTGTTTTATGAGGCAAAACCATTGCAAAATGAACACAGAAAGTATATACTTACGATGCATTACCAAAAAGTAGCTACACTTTGGGACATTATCAGGCCAGTTTAGCTAACAGTTAAACCTGCAAGTTCAAAAAGTTATTTCCATTTTCTTTACAGTATGCAGATCACAAGAAGACACAGTACGTTACCTCAGTTTCTGGAGTAGGAGATGGAGTAATGGAACCAAGAGATCCTTTTCGTGAGCCCTGGAGATCTGTTGGGATGGACACAGGACGCTGCCACTGAGTTGTTCCTGTGGGTATATGCCAGTAGTAGATCCCAGCAATGTCATTGATTTTTTTCCAGCCAGGTGGTAAGTCTGGGTCTGTCTGAAATGACTGATCACTCCATATATCTGCTGTGAACAGGAAAAAAAAAAAGAAAATAATCACACAAAGACACAAACTGTTCTTCCATGGGTCTGCACAGCTGGTACTGCTGTAGTACAGTTCTTGTGTAAATGAACAACAGAAAAACATACTAAATTATTGAGGCTCAAAGTAATGTGACAAAGCCTGATTTTGGCATATAAAGAGAGGAAAAAATGGCAGCACTTACTGAAGAGCTGTTCTAATATGGCAACTACTCAGTACCATCAGATAGCTCCTGTAGTAAGATTTAGCTTTGAGTACCTTAAGTCACAGCATAGAAACTAATATTTGGAATTATGGTGTACTCTATCCTCTTCATCACAGCACCTTCCCTTCTCAATGCATGGCAGCAGTATAGATGAGCATGTATTCCTGCTCACCAAAGTCAGATTATAGATGCACGTAAGAGATGTCACTGGTGGAAAGAAAGCCCTGCCTTTTTGGAAAGGCAGGGGCACCACTTCCGTGCAAACCAGCTGTACCCCAGCAGAGGCAGTTACCCTGTGCTGGGTATATGCTTTCCAGAGGCTGGGAAGGGAGACAGTGCTCGTCTAAACCTCCCAGCTAAACTGCTTTATTAGTGTTATTGTGGTACACAGCTGCTGTGGTGTACTCCAAGGACTATCAAGCTGTAGAAAGAAACAAGCAATCTCCTGGACTGATGTTTCCACAAGCACTTGCACAGAGATGATGAAGGCTGATTGCAGCATGTGAATTGAGCCACTGAGAAAAAAACCCAAGAATATCAATGCTCACCATTACCAATGAGTAGAGTCATTTTTGTTTTCCAACTGAACAACTCAACTGCACTCTTTTCAAGCACATAAAAGGAAATGAAACACAAAACACTTTCTACAATTTGACCATATCATTTGAGAATTAATGTGATCAAATACCTAAACATACACTGAAGTATGTGTGGCAATGTCTGTGACTCCAGATACCCTCGGATGTTTAAATAACTGGTTCAAAAAACTCCAAAATATCACAATAACGCCACCATTCCTAGAACTTACATACTGGGTAATGCACTCCAGGATAGCAAAACAGTAAGTCTTTATTATGCAGAGAGGCAAAGCTTCAGATCAGTTCAGGTTCATACCATCTACAGAATTAAACAGCCAATTAAACACTAGAAATTAATGTTATTCTCCTCGCTTTAAGGTAGGCACAGCTTCTGTCCTTGCTACACATACATACATATGCACACACAGCTATTCAAATATCCAGTCAATTAAGTGTTATGCCATGGCTGCATTAAACTACTAATTTCAAACTAATCAACCGAACACGCAGAGGAACCAGCTTACTGTTATTTATTATTGTCATGACATGCAGTACCAGAAAGACCTAACAAAGAATTACTTTCAGTGAAAGCAGTAAGTAAAAGCAGACAAAACACACAGCAGAAAAACTGTTAACCCAGAGACCTAAACCAAAAAGATTCCTGCAACACTTAGTTAGAAAAGAAGAAATGATCTTGTATGTGAACAAACAGTTGGAAGGAAATAATGTAAAATATCTGGGAGCACTCAGGTAAGAAAATACCACCTGGATGTAATACTAATTTATTTTGAAAACTTATCCATTAACAAAAATAAATACACCAAAATACGTTTGCGCATGCTTGGAAATAAAATAAGAATTAACTGTAGGGTTTTTTTTTCAATTAACACAGCTCAGGACTTTCAAAGGGTTGCATTTCCACACAAAATGACTATGACATACGTCTGTGCACAAGAAGCACGTTGCTGGTGAGCAGGCACTCCTCACACAGAGAGACACCTCAAATCAGCATCACTGAACAGGAAAGCAACAGATGGCTCATACTCATATTGAAATACCATTCCTCATGTTTGTTATGCAAACCTGTACATCAATCCAACTCTATTGATATGACATTAAACAACATGCATGAAACAAATCCAGTAGGAAATAAAACTGATCACACTGGACTTCTTAATCTGAAAGTGAGAATTCCTCTTATCTCTGCAAGGTTTTAGAGGTAAAAACATTACATGGAAATAGTCATCCACAGAGCAGAAGGAACTAAGTCCTTCATGCTTCCTCCATGGTAAATGATTTGCAGTGACCATGAACTTTTCTCTGATTCCTTCCAAGTCATCCCCAGGAGATGAAGTTCTACTTGGTATCTCCTGGCCTTTTCCATGCCTTTCTTTATGCATTTGTTGATGCAAGGTCAGTGAAGCAGGACATCATGATTGCTTACAAAGCTTCTGGGTTTGGAAGTATCATTGCTCTGATAATATGGAGAGCATGACTTACTATAGAAGTTTAGAGCATGATTCACAAAAAGAATGTATCCTTTTGTACTGGGTTTGGTTTACCTACCACATGTATCAGAGTAAACCATGATCCCCTGAAAGGCTATACTGTTGGACATTTCTGATATAAAATGCATAAAGCAACAGGAGTAAGAAAAAACAGCACTGAACTAGAATAAAAGAGCTATTTTAACTAAGCTGAATGAGAAAGCAGACACTGGGTTTCTTTAAGAAACCTTGATTCATATTATCAACCTGGATTCATATTATCTGTGTAAGCTGCCTTTCTACAGCAAGAAAGAGACAAATTCTTATCAATGGAAAAACTAATTTAAAATGTAACTGATTCAAAACTCTGCACAGGAATGAGTTATATCTTTATGCAGGCATCATGCAGATCCACACCACACTGCAGACTGTTGAAAGCCATCTCTTTTTCTGGAGAAAGCCCTTACTGAACAGGGTGGCCTCACTGCCTAGATACACTCTGGAGATGAAGTCCAAAGTTAGCCTTCATCGCAGGAGACTGGACAGTCAGCCTGCAGCTGATCTTTCACCTCAGTTTCTATCCTGTCCAGACACAGGGTGCATGAAAGCCGTCACTAGCGAGGCAGGCGGCTCTCATCCCAGATCTGCCCACAGTGGCACAGACGTGCCAATGAGTCCTCATCAGCAAGCTCCTGCTTGGAAAGCTGCCTAAGATTCGTGTGAGCTGTCACCAGCCAACTGGTGAAACAGAGTTAGAAATTCACAGCTGGTCTTCTGTAGGCAAAGTCATGTGAAGAGAGGGGTCGCAAACAGAGGACTGGTGTTTTCCAGTTGGATTTTTACCCCACAAAAGACAGATGCTTAAACCCATGTCCATACAGAGGGGAGATCCCCAAACCAGCAGTTCATGGGGATGTTATTACAGAAGCAGCATGAGTCAATTCTGGTGAACAAACATTACAGTAAAGGAGATGCAGTAGAGGATTTTGAGGACCAAAATGGAAGACTACCTAAAAACATGGAAGATGTGACTTAAAAGAAGCAGCTAACTCCATCTTAAGAAAACCAGCTGGGCTTTCCTGTCTCCATCAGGTCCTGACAAGGCCCTTGGGAAACCAGATTTTTCCCCACTACCTAAAGCTTCCTTAAGAGTTGGAGACAGAGTCTCTTCTTATGGGGTCCAACATGATGGGGCACATGGTTCCTGCCCAAAAACCTTTGGCACTGGCCTCTGCAGAACTCGGAGAGAAGAATCCGCTTGTTGCATCCCACCACATAGACTTTGCTTCCTGTCTTCAGAGACTCAGTAACACAGGGATGATCAGAATGTTTTTAGCAGAATGGCAAAATTATGAAAAAAACCCAAATAATCAGAAGTGAGAGTCCAAGGGGATGGTAGTATCTGCAATGTTCATTCCCTTTTAAAACCAAATGGGGAACTAGTTGGTTGTTTCTCTATAAAAATTAAAGTGAAAGAACAAACTCAAAAATACTCAGTAAGACTTTAGAAAAGCAACAAAGATATTTTTAAAAGGTATAAATAGTTCTATAAATAAATAAATAATACACAGTTGCGTTTGAATTTTTGCCTGAATGGCTGAAACATGAAGCCTGTAATAAAAAAAACCCACAGTAATAAAAAATACAGTGTTCATCCTGGAATCATTAAAACTTCAATAATACTAGAAAAATGAAGTCTGTTAAACAAAATGAAACTCTTAATTCACTCTGTGGAAACAACTACCAATAGGCATGTACCACCAGAAAATCATAAACACAGTCATATGTAACTGGTAATTTTGACTAGGAGAGCCTTGTGAACACATTTTGTATTCTCAATAAGATAGGATAAAGTCCACGTAATGTAATATATTTCTGTTTGTAACTCCCTTCTCCAAATGTCAGCCTCTGCCAATTACCTGATATAGAGCAGCAATAAATTCCATGCTGTAGTAGTAGTTCAGATATTAAGTCTAGGGTAATAATTAGAAATTCTGTAATTATGTTTTTATTTCAAGTTAAAATTATTTTACTATCTGAGGCTCATCTAGGAAACAGTGTTATGAAACGGAAAAGAAACAGTAATAAACAGCATAAATAATTCACTGAAGAGCATTGGTGACCAAGCTCTGTGGTAAAAATAGCACTTTTATCACTTAATTTATTGTTGTTTCAGGGGAAAGGATAGTTATCAAATTGCTGTCATCTTGAATCACTCTTTAGCTCCTGTTCAATTAAACAGAATTTAAAACTAAAGTATTTTAGCAGGTTCTTTAAGAGCAGACCAGGCTGAGCAGCAAATGGAGAACTTTTATTTTTCCATCATTTTGCAATGCCATGAACAGTTTCCTCAGAACAGGCACCCTGTGCAAGGCAAGGTCAATGTTCACCAAGTACAGGTCACATCAGCAGCATCCCAACAGATGCAAATAGTACGCTCTGCATCCCAATGCTGAGCTGTTCCTGACTATGTCAGTACCATCCTCTGCCAATGTAATCTGTGGATATTTCATAATTAGAGACACTAAATGCCATGAAGCTGAAAGTTTTTAACTACTTCAGGCTCTCCTCTGCAGGCACAGTCCTTTCACTGGCCACCAAAGGCAGTCATTTAGAGACTAACACAGGTGTAAAGAGAATGGCAGGAGCTCTTTAGGCATTTTCTGCAAGAGCAGGAATGCAAAGATACAACACAATATATTTTAATTTAACAGCAATTAATAATTATTCTTGTTTTAGACAGTACTACACTGAAGTAAAATGTTCAAACAGAGCTGATTTGGTGTTATAACAAAGGTGTAATGGAAGCATATCAACAAGATGCCTAATTTTCTATAGACAAAAATTCTGTTATCTAGAAAACTGGTTTCTCCATAATTCTTAACAAAACCCATATCTATCAGCATAAATCAAACCAAAGACTCCACCCACCATTGTCAGAAGTTGGTCTAAGACTAAAACCCAGCTGGTATGACAATGTGCTTGTGTTCAATTAATCATGATCTTTTATTGATAAAGATTAGAGATGCACTACATCATTTCAATAGCAAATCTGAGCACTCCTTTTTGGAAGGAACATAATCGAGTTCCTTCCCTCTCTGAATTTAAAATAATAATAATACTAAAAAAAGTAATAAACTTTCTCATTTTGGACTAATAAAAAGAGAATAAAAGCTGCAACTAGGTGTTATCTCCAAAGAGAACTTGGCGGTGATGATAAGCAAGGTGCTGGGACAGAGACCAGAGTCAGTGCCTCTGCTTAGGTCCTTGTGCATGAGGGAACCTGGTTCACTAAAGGGCAAGCAAATGTACTTCCTGGAAAAAATACTCTTAATTAAGGCAACAGGTCTAGCACAAAAAAAATTTGTATTTAACCCGGAGATGTACTTGGAAAAACAGACATGTATTCTGGATGCACAGCTCTTCTTTGGGTGAAAACAAATCCCACCAACCAG